TTGAGTGCATGGCAGAGCCTAGACAATTCTCAATCCATTTTGGTCAGTAGGATTTTAAAAATAATTTTCATTATTTCAGTTATTAAATCTGAAATTTCATGGTGTTACCATTTTAGGGATCCTGGCCCAGAAAAGGAGCTGTGGGGAAACCAGGGTCACAATGTTATTGTAGGGGACGTTGCAGTACTGCTACTCTTGCTTCTGTGCTGTCATCAGTACTACTTTCAGAACTAGGCAGCTGGGGTGCGTCTACACTGCACCGTTATTTCGAGACAATAATGCATCTACACAGGCATTCCGTTATTTTAAAATAATTTTGAAATAACAGACTGCTTATTCTGAAATCTGTAAACCTCATTCTACGAGGAATAATGCCTATTCCAAAAGCCATTTTGAAATAAGGCGTGTGTAGACGCTCCACTGCTGCTATTTTGAAATAGCTCCTCACTAGGGCCATTCTAAGTTATTCCTCCCCAGTGCTTCTTGGGGCTCTAAATTGAGATAACACAGTTACATTAGGGAAGTCTGCCTCGGACTAATTTTGAGGCTTCCCTGCAGTGTAGACATGCTATTTCAAAATAAACTATTTTGGTTTAGTTTATTTCTAAATCGGAGTACAGTGTAGACATATCCCTGGAAAGCTGCAGCTGCTGGCTGGGATCTCAACTCTAAAGATAGAGTTGCCGCCAGCAGCAGCAGCAATGCAGAAGTAAGGATGGCATGATACGGTCTGCTGCTTTCTGAGCTGGGTCTCCAGTCAGTAGTGGTCATACTCTGGCCACCCAGCTTTGAAGGCTGCAATGCAGAAGTATGGATGGCATGATATGGTACGGCCATTAGGGATGTAAAATCCTTTTTAATTGGTTAACAGATTAAAGAGGATGATGAGCAGGGGGATCCCTCCAGCCTGGCTGGAGCAGCCTCCCCCCACCCACTGCTGGGCTGGAGCAGTCCCCCTTCCTCACCACAGGCAGGGGCTGCTCCACCCCTTCCAGAACAGACCCTACCTGTGGCCCCCTGTCTCCATAGTGTGGTCAACTCACCACCGTGATGCCTCCTGTTGGTCACATGGGGAAATTGGCTGTGTCTGTTGAGTGTGCTGCCTCCTGATCGGTGTCTTGCCCGTGGTTGTTCTGCATTCCTTGTGCCCAGACTCTGGCTCTGGCCCCGCATTGCTCCTGTGGTCTGTTGGTGTCTGCTTCAGGAAACTGCCCTTTGGCCGTGCCCGCTATTCTGTTCTCCCTGCTTTTGGAGGTAACAGTAGTACTCAGTCCCAGCACTTGCTTCCATGGCCAGCTGCAGCCAAGATCTAGCCCCTCACTTCAAGGGCTAGCCATAGTCTCTAACAGCTATGCTCCAGTGTGGCAAGGTGCAGTGCAAGGGGAAAGGGGGGGACCAAGGCCCACCCACTACTTTGAATCTCAACCAAGGACCATCTGGCAGCAGCCATGTGCTGCCCTCCTTCACTCCCTTTGACTACTCTTGTTCCCTGAACTGCTTCTCTGTGACCCTTGCATATTCTCAGCCTCTGTATCAAGGCCCACAGCCTGGGAGGTATCAGGTTGGAGCTTCTCTCCAGTTCCCCTGAACCTGTCCAGCACTGCTCTGTCCAAGCTGCCACTGATTCCCTCTTCTACTGGGACCCAACTGGTCAGGGCAAGAGAGAGATACGCTCAGCTCTGCAGCCTTTTATAGGGCCCAGCATGGACCTCATAGCTTGCAAAAACCTGACCATTCTCTGTCCTGTTTTTAATCCTCTCCTTGCTGGAGTGGGCTACAGCCCAGTATCTTTACAAACATATTGTTTAAAAATGCTAATTTATAACAACTATATATGCAAAACATATTGCAAAGGGCTTGTGCATGCCCCTCTGGAGATCTGTGGATTCCAAGCCCATTTTAGGTTAAAGTGAAGATGAATTTGGAGAGATCCTGCTAGTCCCTCTTAAGTATTTGTATACGTTACGAGACACAGTTGTCATAGCTGGGAGTCCCTACTTACGAGTCACCTAGTCCTGAAATAATAATACTGTAGATCAGTATTGAGGGGCATTGACAAGCTGAACTGAGGACACTTTCACAAGCCCCTCTTTATGACATTAGTTGTTGGCCATTCACAGTAGCGCTGAAATCTATTACAACTGAGTAAAAATGCAAGATTCAAGCAATTTAATACCAGTTTTGGAAAGTGCTATATATTGACCAGATACATTATTTTAAAAACAGGATCAAGCACAATTTAGGCAAAGGAAAATGCTTTTTACTAAGAAAATAGAAGACCAAAACACATCTCCATACAGGTACAATATTATAAAAGGAGAAAAAAAGAAACAATTCACATTTCAACACAATTTGTGTTTCAGCTGACCACTGACCCTCCAGAAATAAATTAAATCCTAGATTGAATTTGAGATCTTAAAGATTTATTTTGTCTAGATTAGAATTGTTCCCACAAACATTCCAGTGTCAGAGAGATTTCTTTATGCCATTTGCAGTATTTAAAATAGACAGCAGTTAATTTTGCCATTTATTTTGTGTGTGAAAGGCAGGCAAATCTACTGGAGTAGGGTTACCATACTTTAAATTCCCAAATAGAGGACGCTACCAGGGAAGGGCAAGGTTGAGGAAAAGAAGTTAGTTTCTTTTTACTTTGAATATCTAACATTTATAAACAAGTGTAATGGCCTTAAAAATAAGTGAAAATCAAATGTAAACATACTTTACATGCAGTCTGTCCTTTCCAACTCTGCTGCTTCCTGTTGTGTCCATGCATATTTCTCTGTAGAACGTATTTTTGTCAGCACTGTCTGATTGCTCATCAAGTAGCCATAAAAGTCTTTGTGTGTCTGAAGTTGTATAGTACAAGCAGGATCCTTTTCAGCAACTCAACAGTCAATACCATCCCACCCTGACTTCCGGGCTGCTGCTGGCAGCAGTGCTGCCTTCAGAGGCAGCCTGCTCTCCAGGTGCACAGTTGTGAAGGAAAGCGCTACCAGCAGCAGCATCACAGAAGTAAGGGAAGCAAACCCATAAACATGTACGCTGCTGTGAGGGCCTGCCAGAAATTGCAGTTCTACTAGAAACAAGGTTGAAAAAAGGATAATTTGGGGGGAGGGGGGAGGAATCACAGACATTTGTTCATATTTCAGAATCCACCTATGCAGAGATTGAAGGACCAAAAAAAGAATTAATGTGCAGGAAAATCCTAGATATATGGTAACCCTAGTCTGGAGAATAATTTCAATTTTCATATTTGTTATAAAAGAATTTAAGGACAGGTTGCCATGGAGTTGCCTCTCTCCCTCCCCCCACTGTTGCAGACAAGGGAGGCTGCCATGAAAAACAGCCTCTGTACAGGGGCAGGCAGCAGCCAGTGTGTGGAGGGTTTAAGCTCCCTGCTACACAGGGCTCTTCTTCAGGCTTGAAGTGTGCTGTGTAACTCAAAAGCATGTCTCTTTCATCAGCAGAAATTGGTCCCATAATAGATATTACCTCATCCACCTTTTCTCTGCAATATTCTGTGACCAACCTCAGCTACAAACTTCACTGCAAACAACATGCATATTTTGTGCAATTAGGCCATGTTCACTTAGTTACTTTAAGTGTGCATTCCTTTCACTTGTAACACAAATATTTCTCTCTGTCCTCTAATGGACTGATCCTGGTCCCAATGATGTTAATGGGAATATAACTGGGACCAATCCTGGAAGAGGCTCAGTACCCTCGACTCCATTGCTTTTAATGGGAATTTAGGATCCTTGTCACCTTGTTGGAAGTTCTCAGCACTGCTTAGGAAAGCAAGCAGACGAGAGCTAAAGCAGTTGCTATGTGTGCACAAGTCATTGGGAGAGTATGGAGAGCGAGGACAGGATCAGGTCCTAAGCAATGATTTGTAAAAAGCAGTGTATGCCTGTTTTGCACCATTCAGTGCTATAGAATGCAATATCAGTGATAACATTTTATTTTATTTGGATTAAGATAATTTCCTTTATTGAAAAATATGTATAAGTGTCTTTGATAATGGTCGCAAGGCAAAATCAGAATTATGTTAAAGTATGAAGCTGAACATTATGGAGTTTTTTTTCCAGATGACAGATCAGTGAATTTTCAATCATTTAATTAATGCTCTTAGACAGTTTGAATTAACTTATTAAATATGATAATGTATGAATCTCTCTCATCCCTTTCAGCATGCATTTAAAAAATAAAAAGGAAAAGTGAAGTGCATCCAAAGTGTGATTAACTGAGCTGGTATCTCTGTCACAAATCTAAAATGCAGTGGTGATGAATTACATGAGTAATCTTAGGCCCTATCTATGATACACTGATAGCAAACAACAAAACTTGGTCACAAGTTAAAAGCTGCAAGTTAGAGGAGATCTGTATACTTATAACTAAGGTAAAACCTGGCTGTTCTATGATTTTTACCCAGTTGCAGAGACATTACCAGACCCTGCCTACATTACAACTCGGTCAGGGAACCAACTACAGTAAAACTCCGATGGTCCGGCATCTGATGATCTGTCACTCCTGATGGTCCAGCAACATCAGGAACCCGGAAGTGCTCCGGGCAGCCGGACCATTGGAGCTGCTCTGCCTCCAGCTTCCCCGATTCAGCTGCTGCTAAAAA